CGATGTGACGTTAAATAATAACTCACTCACTCACTCACTCACTCGTGGCAACGGAGAACTGAATCAACAACATACAGCTTTCCTCTTCTGTTCCACCATAACTTGAGTCTGCATCCTCGTCGCCAAATGTAGTGTTTGCCAGGGCAGGGTTCCTCACATGCACAGATGAGAGACACGTCTTGACAGTCCCATACTTTATTCATGACTACCCCATACAGTCCATGCCGCTTCCGGTCACCCAGATAATACTAGTGGCACAACTTATTATCACCAATACGCTACTACTATCATGATTTTACCAACGATATTGATAAGATATATTCATCTTTACCTTCATCTGATGACTTAGTAATTTCAAGAAGTGATGTTCTGTCATCATTTAAACATCTCAAAGTAGGCAAATCTTGCGGCCCTGATAACTTACCTGGTATTGTTTTGAAAGAATGTGGAGAGCAACTATGTGTCATATTTCAGAAGATGTTTCAATGGTCAATTAGTTCAGCTGTTATCTGCACTCTCTGGAAAACTTCCAATATCATTCCTGTTCCGAAAAGGAATAATCCCCTGCCATAAACAATGACTATCATGCAGTTGCTTTGACATCGATAGCCATTAAGTGTTTAGAACGGATTATAAACAAAATTGTTACTTGATAATGTAAGTCATTTGCTAGATCCTTTACAATTTGCATACAGGCCAAGGCATGGGACGGAGGACGCAACATTAACCCTCCTGCAAAATATTTACTCTCATCTGGAGACTTGTAACAACTATGTAAGAATCCTCTTTATTGATGTTTTCTACCGCCTTCAATACCATCCAACCACACCTTTTGATGATTAAACTGTTTAATCTAGACATTAATAGCAATATTATCAAGTGGGTTAAAGAAGTTCCTGGTACACAGAACTCAGTATGTCAGTGTCAATGGCTATCAATCTTCTTTTCTCTCTACCTCTACTGGAGCTCCACAGGGCTGTGTTCTTTCACCCTTACTCTTCATTTTGTATACCAATGACTGTTACTTGTCATTGAATGACGTGTTTACTGTGAAATTCGCATATGACGCTGCTGTTACTGGCCTAATTTCTGATTCTGAACATAATTATCATCAAGGGATTAGAAAATTTCTATCTTGGTGTAAAGACAATTTTCTTTTTCTGAATGTAAAGAAAACTAAGGAAATGGTGGTTGAGTTTCAGAGAAATAAGGAACCTCTACATCCTCTTATAATTGATAATGCAGAAATTGAAAAGAGTGGACCATTACAAATGTCTTGGTGTTATTTTTCGTTTTCAAAACACATTGATCACATTTACAAAAAGGGTCAACAGCGACTTTATTTTCTTCGCCGCTTAAGAAACTTTTCTATTGACAAAACCACAATGACTGTTTTTTATCAAATCTTTTTTCAAAGTGTGGTGTCCTTCAATTTTTTATGTTGGTGTGGGGGTCAAAAACTTTTCAAAGTTGTTAATACTGCCAGCAAAATTACTGGAGTGTCTTTCGAGTATATTCCCTTTATTTATGAGTGCCAGATCGTCAAAATGGCAACTAAAATTAGAATTGATAGTTCACATATTTTATCTCACCATTTTCAACTACTTCCATCTGGATACTTCGCTTAAAACAGAGCTCGACAGTCCTTCATACCATCCAGTATTTGTGTTATTAATGCAACATATGTCTTTGAATAGTCATCATGCATGCGATAACTACTAACTCACCCTCTTTACCTATGTGGTTAATCGTATGGAATCATCAGCATTCATTTCGTGCATGTAATTATTGCATATATTTTTGTGAATTTTGTATAGATTCACCTTGAGGCTGTTTTTGATACAAAAAGAATTTCCTACAGGAAAATAAAGTTATATCTTAACTTATATTACAGTTTCCGTAAACGCGACGTCATGACTGATGCAAACTCGCGCACAATGATGATGGTACTTCTCATTTCTAGGGTTGGGTACCACGAAAGTTTCAGTACCATGGTATACCAAGGTTTTTGTTCAAGTACCACGGTATTTACCACGGTATACTGTGCTGCAGCACCTACTAACTAATGAATCCGATTGTCTTGTTTAATGATTTTGAATGAATTGGGCCGTGAAGTAATGTCATAACTATACTAAACAAGTATGGAAAATACAAAAGTGTTTCAGACTTCTTTTCACTCTGTGAATTTCAGTCATCACAACAAGAAACTCCCACAAGAAAATGAAATCTGAAAACTTCAAAACTGAGCTCACTGCCAAGTTCAACAACTCAAACATTATGTACAAAATAAACAATCTTGTTAATTCCAATAAGTCAAAGACATTAAGCTAACATAACTTGACAATATCACAAAATGACTTCACAAAAATCATATTGACTAGAAATATTACAAGATTCACGGCTGAGCAATGAGATTCTTGAATTCAGCATTATTTAGGTATTATATTACTAGGAGTGCAAGGTTTAGTTTGAAAAAGTTCTCATCACTAGTCATCAGTCATCACAAAAAAGGAATAGTAAACCAGGATGATATCCTTTACAAACTTCCATATGAAATTGAAAGTTGAGTTAGCCTTCGAATCATTACTGAACAAATGTTGCGTGTGAAAGAGGCTTGAGTGCAAATTTCAGGCCAATTTCCATTAGCCCAAAATTTCTACATTAAACCATTTCATAGTGTACTTTTGACGTTTTTGGTTTCCTGTTTTTGTGTGAAAAAAAGTATTAAAATGCAAAAGGAAAAACAACAAATGGTACTCACGTATTACACCGGACATGTACCTCCTAGAAAGCCCTGACCCTAAACCTAGCCCTAGCCCTAACCCCTTAAATTAATACTAATAAATAGAAAGCACTGACCAAACCGGCAGTATTAAAATGCAAAAGGAAAAACAACAAATGGTACTCACGTATTACACCGGACATGTACATACTATATTGGATTAGGTCCCTAACCCTAACCCTAAGCCCTAACCCTAACCCTAATCCCTTGAAATAATCCTAATAAATAGAATGCATTGACCAAACCGGCAGTATAAAAATGCAAAAGGAAAAACAACAAATGGTACTCACATATTACACCGGACATGTACCTACTATATTGGATTAGGTCTCTAACCCTAACCCTAAACCCTAGCCCTAACCCTAACCCCTTGAATTAATACTAATAAATAGAATGCATTGACCGAACCGGCACAAACATGACTGACGTGTCCAGTGTAATGCATTATTACCGCTTTGAAAAATAAAATACTAATAAAAAAACTTTTCTATGTAATGATGCAAATTACTGAATGATAAAAATATTTATGTAAATTTAAAAAATACAAAATACAATAATACACAAAACATAACACCTAAGCACCCCGTAATACAAATAAATAAGAGCGTATTAGTGAAAAAAGAAAAATATTTCAAACTGGTGCTTGCAAAATATTACGCATCCGGCGGTATACAACTGCTGGAAACTCCCAACATCGTTGGGCTTATGCAATGACATAGCTCGTAGAGATGAAACACCAGAGAGTGGAGCTTATACCCACTCGCTGAGCTAGACAACCGTGTTATCATGCAGGCATCAAAGGGCATTGTTTTGAGAACGTGCTTTCGAACAAAATCACATTACATTATGTAAAAGGGTATTATGACGTATTTTTAAAGTTTGTGGTGCTGTATTCTAAAGGTAGGCCGTGAAGAGAAAATAGTGTTTTATTTGAACGAAAATAAACCCGGTTTTCTGAGACCTTCCGCGGTACGTACTGGCTCATGGAAAAAAACACGGTTAGCCAGTAAAACCGCCCATCTCCAATCATTTCTGACTATTTCTTTTGATCACAATGAAAACCAAATAACAACCAGCAGATTGTCAGAATGTTTTGGACTACTTACATGTCACATTTATGCATAAACGTTACGTGAAACAACAAAAGTTTCTTTCCATTCCATATATCCTGTGTACTCATGTCGGCGAAAATGCCAAACGCCACTTCCCGATAGTGATGTCATATGTACATCAACATAGTTATACATAGTTGGTATGTTCATTGAGTGAGGTTATGAATTTTACGTACACACGATCACTTCTATGTTGCTGCTTACATTTTCAGTTCTAATACCTCTTTCATATTTTACATACTGCTTTCACGTGATTAATGTCAGTATTTATATCTTTTGCTTTGGGGCTTGGCAGGAGACCAGTCTAAATCAATTGCACTAATTATGTCATAATCAAAGGGCAGTAACTCTGGCCTGTTTAACTCGGTAAACTCAGCACTTATATTGAGGGGCGATGGGGTAGCCTAGTAGTTAAAGCACTTGCTCGTCACATCGAAGACCTGGGTTTGATTTCCCACAAGGGTACAATGTGTGAAGCCCATTTCTGATGTCCCCAGCGGTGATATTGCTGGAACATTGCTATAAGTGGCGTAAAACCCAACTCACTCACCACTTATATTGAGTGTTATACTTTCATTGTAAGAAATATGAGTGTATATCTTCAAACACTGATATCAACTAATTAAAAAAAAAATCCTTTTGTTTCACATAAGAGGAAACATGATTTTTTGTGTACACTTCCCCTTTTAAAGCTTCTGCAGATTTTATCTTCATCGATGATTAAGGAAATTATGGCATGTGTAACAATTATACATCTGAATTACAAAATCTTTTTTTTCCAAAGTTTGTTGTGGTTTAATTATCCTTGGTATCATTTCTTTTGCCAGTTAGTTTAAATATTTTAAAATATCAGATTGCTACAAAGACACATGACATTAAACAAGTTTCTTTATACAACTTCAGATGTATGGAACATTTTGCCTTTATGTGGATATTGATGGATACATAACAGATTGTGTTATGATTTTGTCAGTTCTCAGTTACCGATCCCTGATACATGTTGCTGTGTTCATTCCAGAAAGAATAGTTCCAAACTCAAGTCAAACCAGTACAGATATATGATTTACCTTTAGGCCTTCATTGATGTTTGTAGTTCAGTCACTTACCTGATTTGATATTTTTAAGCCTTCCATGTCTTTCTGCAGATTTGATATCTTCATTGCTTTCACTGGATACTCTTTGTCCTGCAATGTACAAAAACACAAAGTAAAGTAATGATGTTGAGCATTTCCCACTCCTCATGCATCCTCCTTATGATCTGAGCCTCACACAGAAAGACTTGACCTAAAGGCATTACAATTAAGGAATATGCTATATTTGGGATTAAACTTTCTTGGCAAAGTACAGATTCTAGAACTTAGTGGTAGCGGCTGTGGTTTAGTGGGTTAGATCACTGCCTTTGTGTGTTTGTCATTAGGTGCTTCATTTGGAGAATCCTAAACACAACCCACAAAAGTACTGGAATCTGTACTTCACCGAGAAAGTGTTATCCCAAATATAACATATGGTACTTGTGACCATTTCTTACAAAAACGAAAACCATTGTGCATTCATAAAATGATATATTTTTCAACATAATCCCATTCTACAAGATACACTTTTGCAAGCAATGTTGGGGGGATATGTGTCCCAGTTAATCCGCCTGATGCCAAGATTGACGCACATTTGCATAAGGGCATGGTGGGCAAACTGTCTAAAGTGCCAGGCTAGTGATCCAGCGACCTGGAGGTGACGGGATCGAGCCCACCTGTGACTTGATGTAAAAACTTTGGAGTTAACTTTGTGTGCAGACTCTTTCAGTGTTGTCACAACCCCTAGTGTACAGTACACAACCCTGTGCACTTAAAAGAACCCACAAATCCGTTGGTATATGACCAGATGGTGGCCACATGCAAACACCTAGTTGCTGGTACAGCAACGTGCAGTAAACTTGGACAAAGTACTGTGACTATGTGTCCCAGTCCACCCAGTTGTGAATGGGTACCTCGTAAGGATTGAAAAGCCACGCAAACTCGGTGCGCCTAGTGGCTGCAAAAGTTGCATTCTCCCCAGGGAGTTGAGATTGATAATATGATGTGCCGTTGAGATTAACATCCTGTGATCAAGGGAAAAACAAAGTGCCTTTGAGCAGCTGAGCTGGATATTGGCGCTATACAAATGTTAGTATTATAAAAATGTTAGCATAGTCCTAAAATTGAATGTTGCATGAAAATTACATCAATTCAACTTTTATTAATGGAGAATACTAACGAAAATAAAACTTTTCATAGAGGTAAAGGCATTCTAAAAGTCACCTTCCGTGAACAAAAAGTTTGTAAAATCGCAATAAAAACACAAAAAAACGTACTCGTATTTCCAAGCAATAAAAGATGTTCCTGATGTCATTTCAGAAATGGATGTTAGACCGGATCAATACGATCCGATTTTACATCTTGCAAAACAATATTCCAGTGAAAATGCAGAAGAATAATCAAGCGAAACAGAGGCACAGCTTGATGTTAAAATAATTTCTAAAATAGACCATATGATTTATCATGAATATTTGTCAGCAACATGTGATACAGTCCAACCAGCACACCCACCCCTATAAATAAATGATCAGTCCCTAAGAAAATATTTTTGTGAAATGTGATTGCAGTTTTGTGTTAAATGGGTGACTGCAGGGTGTCTGGTATTTAAAAAAAAGGATTATGCTTCAGATGGGGGAGAATAGAAATTATCTGCTGCAAAATTTACACTGGAATTATTTTGTTGATTAAAATTAGGATCCTTGTCCATACAATATCACAGTCTGTTCGAGTAGAGATAATATAAGCGACGCAGAACTTAATAAGTTATTCCCTGAAAACTGGTAAATTATAAAATACTAGTCAGGACAATGTATTTTTCCACAGATTTTGCTTATGTAAATAGTTATGTTGCTCGGTCATAAAATTAGAATGACATCTTGTCAGCCAATGAGAATACAGAACAACTTTCACAGCACACACTAGTGACAAATAGTGAGTCTGATGCCGACGTGATTAATTGGACAAAATGGAAAACAATGAATGTAACTAGCACTTCATGATTTGCCGATGTATTCAGTAATTGTTCGCGTTGACTACAGCATTTATGGCTCCAAACCGGAACGAAAGTTATAGTGAAACATTTTCAAGATAATGAGAAATCTCTTACTCATAATATACTAGGCACATAAAGAAACTGTGCATACAAAAATTTAAAATCCAAATTTATCAAACCTGTGTAGACACATAAGGATTGAAACTCAGAGATTAGTGACATTTATTACCCACGTGGTCAACGTATGGGTAGTTGCATACTAATCTCGTACGTCACACGAGTGTCGTATCGCGTTGACCTGTGTCGTTACGACTTGACCTGAGATTCTAACGATTTGATTGGATAACCGATGACCTCTCAATTAGGTCACATTCTGACGTAACTATTTTTTCATTCATAACAAACACGTGAATCAATTCATTCTACAACTTAAATGCATTGTGGGAATGTAAACATTACGAACGTTGCCGTGTCGCTGTTTAATTGTGAGCCGAACTGAGACATTATACCCGTCGAAAAACGTAAACGCAATGTTTCCACCAGTGATGTTAGCCGAACGAAGCAACTACAAACCAAGAAGCGGGTGCTACGGGTAGTTTACTGTAGGAGGCTGTACGCGAGGCGATGACAACTGACATGCATCGTGACGTTGGTTACCAAGGCAGTGACGTCATTACAGTGACGTCCATGCAAATACTGTACTACAGTGCAAAACTCTTCCGCAACCTCTTTATGAAACCGGTTTCGGTTTGAAACCAAAATATTAACAAAAATATGCTATTTTGTCAATTTAATGCATGTAAGACGTGGGTAATAAATAAAATACCACAATCGGTCTCGTTACATACGAATTATACGAAACTCGTGACCTTCCTATGTTATCTGACCTCGCTTTCGCTCGGTCAGATAACATAGGAAGGACACTCGTTTTGTATAATTCGAATGTAATGAGACCTCGTGTAGTATTCTCTATGTATCCAACATGCATGCACGTGCTACGTTCCGTGATGTCAGTGGGTTCGTCTTTGAGACGTGCAATACGTTGTTGCACGTGCATTCCGGGAAAGAGAAACAGAGCAAATGAATGCCACACAATACTGTCACTTTGGAAAGCTCAACCCCTGCCCTTGCGATCGTTCAAAACATTAAACGGCTATTGAAACGCATAGCATGCCAAGGCTCACGTCTGCACAACGTCATGAGGCCATTGGGATAGTACGTGGGGGAATGTCTCAATGACAAGTGGCTGCACATTTCCACTGCCACCGGAACACCATTTCTGCACTGGTGAGACGCTACCAGAACACAAATGACGTCATCGATCGGCCACGTTCTGGACGTCCACGTGTAACAACTCCAAGACAGGACAGATGGATAAGGGTGACCCATCTGCGCCACAGGTTTAAGACTGCAGTGATGACTGCCCGAACCATCCCAGGACTTCGCCGTATCCACCCCAACACAGTTTGACAATGTTTACGTCATCACGGGATCAGACCATGACGTCCCGCCATACGGCCTATCCTGACACAACGTCATCGACAAGCTCGCCGAATGTGGTGCTGAAATCATGTCTGCAGACCCTTGTTTTGGTGGAGAAATGTTGTTTTTACAGATGAGTCCATGTTTAACATTTCCCATAGTAATGGACGTCAACGTGCCTATAGACGCGTGGGAGAACGTTATGCATAGGCCTGTGTCTTGGAGAGGAATCGCTTTGGTGGTGGTTCCATGATGATTTGGGGTGGAATAACAGCACGCCAAAGAACTCCTTTGGTGATTGTTCAGGGCAACTTAACTGGTGTGGGCTACAGGGATCAGATTCTTCGACCTGTGGCAATTCCTTTTCTGCAACGTCATGGCCCTGGGTTAACATTCCAACAGGACAATGCCCGCATGTATTGCGTCGTCATAGCATTGTGACGTCATATGCATTGTGACGTCATGGCCAGAGTTCACAGTTACTGTTCAGTTTTACCTGATGATGGGGCCAGAACAAGCCCTGAAACGTTGTACTCGAGAATAAAAAGAAGATGTAACCCAGAAAAAATCTCTATGTTCATCAAATATCATCTTCTAAAATGCCAATCAAGCATCTGAGAAGATGTAGTTGGAAGAGCCGGGATCTTGTACACTCTCTGGCCCAAAGGTCCCGAAACTGACGACTATTTTTTTGCAATAAATTCAGTTAGAGCTCTGCACGTGATTTGTTTATAGCCATCCTCAAACATGATTGAACGGAAGTCTAGAGCATGTAGTTCAGACACTCTCGAAGCTTTAGCAAAGGCCAAAAGAAAAGCTGTTTTGAAGGAGAGGAATTTTAGCGATGCATTCTGAAGTGGTTCATATGGAGTCCTTTGTAATGATTCAAGCACTAAACAGAGGTCCCATTTTGGAAACATGGTAGGAGTAGTCACATCCTTAATTTGAAATGATCTGATAAGCTTATGAAGAGAGTTATTAGATCCAACACCTAATCCCTGAATATCACACACCGAAGCGATTGCATACCTGTATCCTTCGATGGTACCATGTTTAAGTTTCCTTTCCTTCCTGAGCCCATTTAGTATTGTACAGTGACGCTGTGGAAGATCTGATTGACTGAGAGATAGCCACTGTGGTTTCTGTTGTAAAATCCTGCTGTTCAAGTGACTTGCGGATAACTTCCACACGTGCAATTGAAGTTGCTGAATGTTCTCGTGATATCGGCTCGATTCCGGTTGACTGATGAGATTGTGCCAAGTTGGGAGTAGTTGACGTGTCGATGAGGAGATCTAGAAGGGTCGGGAACCACGCCCTTGTAGGCCAGGCAGGAGCCACTAAATTACACCACACAACTGTGCTGGTAAATCTTTGCTGAGCACTTCCGAATCAATTTGAAGGGGGCGGAAAGCGTCATGTTGTCCCACGAAATCGATAAAGCATCCACCGCCCAGGTTAGGGGATCTGGAACCAGACTGACGTACCCAGGAAGTCTGTTGTTGCGACACGTTGCGACACGTGGCGAATAGGTCTATCACCGGAGTCTCCCAACTGAATATTTTGGAACGTTATACAAATGAATGGAAAGTATTTGTTAATTTTGAAAAAGCAAACATAGTTATCTTTAGAAGAGGTGGGC